ATTTGAATGATCATTACTAATATCATTATCATTATTATGATAAAGATTATTACTATTGTTATTTTGCTGTTATCATTAATAGGATTAGTTATGATAATTTTTGATATCATTATTAATAATTGTTATTATTATTCTTATTATCAGCAATAATCATCATTATCCGCTAAGGATGTTTTTGGTAGCGTTGGTTAGTTGTTGGTTCGTTAGCAGGATAACTCAAAAAGTTGTGAACTGTTTTAATGATTATTTTTTACAAAAATGTGTTTTACCCCGATTTAGAGCCATTATTTTTTTTTCGGTCGGATCTAGGATTTTTTTAAAAGGATTCGTCAGTTTTGCGAGATAGAGAAACACGGACGTCAGCAGTGTACTTGAGAAAGAAGTGATTTTAATGTGATTCTTCAAGTGTGAATACTTTCATTGCATCAGTGACCTTACTGCCTTGGCGGAGGTATGCGCTGTCAGAGTGCCTGTACTTACTACTATCATCATTACTACCACATTTTGCTTCACTCTGGCTGACTTTAGCTGACTTTCTCTATGAATGTGCAGCTCAAATCAGTTAGTATTCATAGCTGTAAGCCTTCTTGCAGCCATCCCGAGGTTCCGTTTCTCTCCGGTTTAAAGTCCAGCGGCCGTTCCCGTGGACGGACCTGTTCGGGGAGCCAACAACCTCCTCCAGGAACAGGTTTCGGGGGGAAAAGACGGCGGGCCCATTAGGAGGACGGTCCCGTTGTCTCTGATTTCGAGATGTGTGTGCGTGTGTGTTTTTGTAAAGGGTGTGTGTGTGTGTGTGTTTGTTTGTGTGTTTGTGTGTGGTGTGTGGTGTGTGTTTATGTGTGTCTATAAAGGATGGTGTTTGTCTGTGTGTTGTAGTCTGTGTGTGTGTGTTGTGTGTGTGTGTGTGTGAGTGTGTGTGTGTTTGTTGTGTTTGTTTGTTTGTGTTGTATGTGTGTGACACAGCTATTTTCTATTTCATCCTTGCGCACACGTCGCAGCGTTAGCATATGTCCCACGCTCATCCCACCAACGACAATGAAAATAATAATGATTAAAATGAAAATAATAATAATTAAGAGAATCATCCATCTTATCTCCCAGTAATGAACGTCGGAGAGATGCCATTTCAACGCTCGCTTTTTTCCAAACAAGGAGCGACGTCCGTGCCATTTCCTTTGTTTCAGCCGTGACTCCCATGGCACCGAACGCATGACTCCCATGACGCGAGAGGCCCAATTAAACAAAGGTGAACCATGGGAGAGGTTAGGGCGGGGAGCCAAGTATGGAGAGAGAGGCGGGCGTTTTAGACTTGGTGGGGGAGGGGGGAGGGGTGGGAGAGGGGAGGGAGGAGGAGGAAGAGGGGGGGGATTAGGGGGGGAGGGGAAGGGAAAGGGTGAGGGGGAGGAGGAGGAGGAGGGAGGGGTAGGGGATTAGGGGGAGGGGAAGGGAAGGGGGAGGGAAGGGGAGGAGGAGGAGGAGGGGGAGGGAGGAGGAGGGAGGGGAGGTGCAGGAGGGGGGGAAAGCAGGGTCAGAGCTATGAAATGTCGAACCATGACCTATGCTCATGCGCTTTTGGGGGAGAAGGGAGGTGAGAGGAGAGACCAAGGAGAAAAATGAAGAGAAAGATGAAGAAGAAGCAGAAGAAACGGATGAGGCGAAGGAGAAGAAGGAGGAAGAGAAGAAGAAGAAGGAGGAGGAAGACGAAGAAGCAGAAGAAACGGATGAGGAGGAGAAGGAGAAGAGGAGAAAAGGAAGGAGGAGAGAGGGGCCTGGAACGAAAGTGTATGTGGGAAAGTGCAAAAGATAAAGGAGGAAAGGAAATTGAAGAAGGAATCGAAATGGGAGATAAGGAGGAGGTGCAGGAGGAGAAGAAAATTGAATACGAAGAAGCAGTGTGAAAGAAAGAATAAGAATAAGAGCACAGAAGAAAACGAAGACAAAAGTGAAACACGAATTAAAAAAGGAAGCTTCGAATACGCCAAGACAGATCACCCTAATTCATCTCATCCCACACGCCCGCACAGTTGTAATTACGAAGACATAACTCACAAATCCTCAACCCAAATTTTGTCGGCCATTCATCAAGAGAGAGAAAAAGAAAATGGAGATTAAAAAAAAATTGGAAATTATGGAAGAAAAGACAAAAAAAGGGTGACCCAGTTAGCGCCCCCCCCCCCCCTCGCTCCCGCCCGCACGCCCACCCCTCGAAGCAGAGGCGGAGACACAGCGCCGCCCGAAAGAAACGAGAAGTTTAACAATCGCCGGAAGAGGGAAACCCACGCTGGGACGCAAGGGGTTGCATTATTGCGAATGCTGTTCGTTTCTGTCTTGTCTGTCTGTCTGTCTGTCTCTTTTTTGATTCTCGTTCTCGTTCTCTATTTTTTTTCTCTCGCTCGCTCCCTCCTTGTCGCTCTCCTTCTCCTTTCTCTCCTTCTGCTTCTCCCTCCACCTCTCTTTCTTCTTCTCGTCTTCCTCCTTCTCTCCTTCTCGTTCGCCGGTTCCTCCTTCTCCTTCTCCGTCTCCTAAGTGCGTTATATCCAAGCACATCTATTTTCATCCGCTTTATCGTCGTTCTGTCTCGAAGGTCCGCAACAAAGCGCGAGGAAAGGGCGGATACGCTTAAAAAAAAAAAAAAAAAAGAAGAGAGAGAGAGAGAGAAAAAAAGTCATTTTGGCGTCAAGGATATTAGTCATAATTGGTAATTCACCGGCGGGAAAACTCACGCAAAATTGCCACTTCTGATCGTTGTGCAAACCAGACCACAGGGAGCAGATTCCTTTTAAGATATTCAAGTACAGTGATTCTTGGCTTGTTGCCCAACAATGGCGTCGGCGGCCAGGAATTTTTCTCTCGGAGTCATGCAAGACGCGGCAATCAGAATGCGCGTGGGAGCGTGTCACCCGGGCCACGAGAGGGCGCGAATATTTGAATTTTAAAGTTGATTGTCGCTTATCAAACACCAAGGGATAATATTGTTGCGCGTTGTAGGATTCGATTCGATTCGGCGCGATCTTCTCTTGTTTCAAGGAGATTCTAGACAAACACCGACGGATATGGTCCTTATGACGCGTTATGGGATTCGATTCGATTCAGCGCGATTTTCTTTTGTTTTTTCCAGACGATTCAGGTCTGGAAAACACCCTTTTTTTTGTTTTTTTTTCCCAGCCGATTTTTTGGCGCGTTATAGATTCCGACCCGATTCCCTCTTGCGCGATCCGCTAAGAGAATATAGGAGATCGGATTTATAGGTCGGAGATGAAAGAGGAGACGCTCCGAAGAGACAGAAGTCACGAGTCATATGACATGCGCGTTGTCATTCACGGTTGGCGCTCCCGAACGTGCCGTATCACACCCACGTACCTCTAGACTGTCTGAGAGCCTCGCCGCGGTGAAGACATGGGCTGGTGACGTTAGGGGTGAGAGGGGGAGAGGGAGAGAAGAGAGGAAAAGGAGAATGGAGAGGGAGAAGAAGAGGGGGAGGGGAGGGGGAGAAGAGGAGAGGGGAGAGGGAGAGGAGGGGAGGGGAGGGGGAGAGGAAGAGAAAGAGAGAGAGAGAGAGAGAGTCAAAGTCAAAAATCAAACATATTCCATTAATTACAGTGGTTATTTACAAAAATACATTCATATTTACAACTGATTATTTAATAGGCGTTCTTTTAATTTCCTTTTGAAATTACAAAAGCTATGACTTATGACTCTTATATCATCTGGTAACATCTTCCATAGCTTGGGTCCACGTATTTCCATTTGTCGTGCCCCTCTATCAGTACTCGATCTCTTAACACAAAGAGAATTTACTTGGCGTGTCACGACACCTGATGTGGTCCCTACAGTTTGCAAGTGCATTAACCATTGTGGATAATTCCTATGAATGAGCTTGTAGATGAATACACATGTGTCATAACTGCATTTAGGTTGGACTTTTAACCATTTTAATTTTTGGATGTGCGGGCTGATGTGATCAAGTTTACTGATATTACCTAATGCACCTCTTTTAATTTTTGTAATTTTTGCATTTGGGTTTTGTTAGTCGAACCCCAATTGAGAGAGAGAGAGAGAGAGAGAGAGAGAGAGATGAGAGAGAGAGAGAGAGAGAGAGAGGCAGAGGAGAGAATGGGAGAGAGAGAGAGAGAAACTAACTGACAAACAGCAAGCAGGGATAATCCCAATGGGAAAGAAGCGAAAACAAGTTCAACTCGCAATTTAAACAAAGCCAAGAGAAAAGCCAGTTGGGACGCAGAGAGAGCCAAGCCACTCGTGAAAGTTGGACGAGACAAGCCGACCGGACGACTGACCGCCGCCGAGACCTCGTGTGAGCAACGGCCGGGCTGTCCGAATAAGAATCGAATTCCTCGCTGTCCGAATAAAGAATCGATTCCTCGCTGTCCGAATAAGAATCGTTTCTCGCTGTCCGAAATAAGAATCGATTCCTCGCTGTCCGAATAAAAATCTTTTCCTCGTTGTCCGAATGAAAATAGCTTCACAGTCCGAATAAAAGTCCTCTTCGCTGTCCGAATAACGAATATTTCCCTCACGACGCGCGCAGCTCAGTCACCTTTTCGATGTCCGAATCTACTCTCGAGCGTGGAAATAAGTAATCGGACCACGAGCGCGTCGTGATGGCCGATAAAACCTAAACGACCGAATTTCCTCATTACCGGTCATGGCTCTTACGTCTTGGGGAGAAAATGGAGTTAGTCCAGGCTTTGGAAATTTTGGGGAAAAATTGTATCTTACATACTTTGTCAGAATCCTTGTCAGTGCTCTGTGTAATTACGACCTTTTGTTGCGGATTTGACTTATGGAGACTAGTAAGTGGGTACGGGAAGATGACCTTTGTGGCCTTGGTCTTTTGAAATGTTAAATCTTGCCTCGATAAAAATGGCGAATCAGATTAAACCTGTAAATTAGACACAATGAATCTACATTTTCAGTTGATGATCATATAGTTATTATTATTTTAAAGCTGCAGTGACCCCACGCTTCATGTTTTATGCAACATGGCCCTTATAGCGATATTCTTCATGCTATGGTACGGACAAGAATGCTAAGTGTTTACTGTACTGTAAATTATATGTAATTTAGAAGGGTATTGTCTTCGCAAAACGGGTCCCATTTCATACGAGTTACTGCTGTCATTTTGAACTACGAAAGTGTCTAGTATTGTACCTCTTAACTGGTACGACAATAAATCGAGAGTTTCTTAGCAGAGGATTCAAGAATAGCTGCTATGGTGGTCCCCTACACACGAGGAGGAGCACGTGGCGTCCTAGCGAGGCGGAGCTGGAGCCGAGTGGATGTTGGGCACGTCCAGGGAGAGTGCAACTTTCACTCGCTCCAGTGCCAGGGTCGGGGTACCGCCCCACCCTCCCTCCCCCTCCCCCTCCCTCCCCCCGACCCCCCCCTCCCCCGACCCTCTTCCCACACGCAACGAAACCTGTCTGACACGGCCAAACGCCCCTGTATTTTTACCTCCTTTTATTTTCCCTTGCGCCTGCTCGCTCTTCTTTCTTCTTCCTTTTTATCATTTTCTCACTCTATGTTTATCTCCGCTCCCCCTAAACCATCCCAGAATTACCCTCCCCCCCCCCTCCCCTCCTCCCCGTCACTCGTGTGTGATTGTTCCCCCGCGAACCATGTTCCCCGCCATCTTTTCTATTCCTACAATCATCGCCATCTCTTGTCTTTCTCTCCTTCGCTTTCTCCTTCTTCCCCGAGCTAAGTGTTTTCTCCGCGCGTTTCGTCAACAGCGATAACACGTTTCCGGTGGCGCTGAGAACCGTAGTGTCACGCGGGTTATTAGTTTTTTCTTCCCCCTTCTTCGGGTAAGGCAGGTCCCGTAACGGTGCTCTTGGCTGATAGTATTCTGGGAATGTTTGAACCCCGCTGTACGATTCGCATTTGTAATTCTTGTCTTCATTAGTTTTTTTTTTTTTTCATTTGGCTGATCTTACGACGTAGAGCCATATGTGTTTTTGTTTTTTACGTTTTACGCGGAATTATGACCTTGTGTTCAACTAGCTGTTAAGTTGGCTGCAGCAGGAAGCACAGTCGGTGGATCTGTATTTTTCTTTTATGCATAAGAATATGGATAACTTCGAGAAAAATAAGTCTTCAGAAGGTCCTATAAGAATATGGATAACTTCAAGACGTTATCTTCCATTCTGATTCCTGGAGAAAAAAAAAATGTCTTCAGAAGGTCCTAGTTTCTTAAGTGTTCTTTGTCTGACGTGCGGCCCTCCTCAAGGAACACGGCCCGCTGGACTTTCTACTCGTAAAGTCAAATTAAGAAGACTCCGGAAAACTTGTTGGCTTCTCATGTATTAATTTCATAATTTGAGGAAGGTAATTAAGCATCTAAGGGTGGGAAAGGTGTATTTAATTAGTGTAATGTGATATTTCCTGTCTAATTGCTTTTTCTCTTTCTGTTCGCAGGTGAGTTGAACGAAAACCAGAGAGGACCAAGAGTGAGGAGGAGTTTTTCGACTGTAAAATGTGCTAGAAACTGGCCAGGTGAGTTGCAGCGCGATAAGAGAACACCAGCTTTCTCGAATCGGCTTCGGTGTTCCCGGGATGGAAATCTCAAGGCTTAATGAGTGAAAAAAGGGCTCATGTTGAACGCCGTGGAAAACCTGGTCTTTTCTTCCTCTGAACATTTATGCGTCTTTCCTCCGCTAATTCTCCGCTCGTAGATTCGCCAGCGTTTTTTTTTGTTTTGTTTGCATCATAATTAGTGTACATAAGGGAATTGCAAACATTGGGGATGTTGCCCTTGGCCCGTGCAAAAAGGCAGATAAAGACAAAAACAAGGGCCAATTACGGGAGAAAAATCAAACAGATTCGCGAGGCGACTCGGAAACGCCACCAAAACACCGCCGCGCTGTGATCACTTCTGCTCTGCGTTGAGATCGCCGGCGGAGATGTTGTCAAAACACCTTGGGCAACGGAGCCTCCTCGACCCCACGGAGAAGGGGAGCGGGGAGGCTTAATGACCGAAATGGAGGGGAAAACATGGCAATTGTTTACGCTACAGTAAGGGCGGTAATGGGGAAGGAAAGGCACGATTTTTTTTCTGCGTGAAATCTGTCGACGATAATAGTCGGGTTAGGTTCGATATGATGGTATCTTTGGAGATCTTACAGACATATCTTTGGAGATCTTACAGACGCCATGGATATGAATAACTTACAGTGCCAAGGAGAAGAAGGGATATTTACATACGCACAAGAGAAAAAAAGAAGAGTGGCTCATCTTGAAAGGAAGTTTTGAACAAACATCCGGGTTTTCCCTCCCGGACCTTTCTGACGAACGACAGGCGGTCTAGCAGTCTGAAGGGCACCTTGGGTCGAGCAGGCCGAGGAGGGGACAGCTATAGGGCGTGCTTGGGGTTCCCCGCATCCGTAGTGTCGGGATGGAGCGTCGGTTTACGCCAGCCTCTGCCCAAGGTCCCCCGACGTGCGTCTGCCCGGCAACAGGTGGTCGGGACCGGTTTCGCCCATACAGATACGGGGCTTCACCGGAGAGGACTGTGGGTTACATGACCCGACGGCGGAGAAAACGGAATTAGAAGGTGAAAGGTGTTCAGCGTCCGATTCGTGATGCCACGAAGCCGAGCCGAAGCCCCCCAGCGCGAGACCGAAGCAGGAGGGACTTTTAAAAATCGGTTACGCACAATTTCACGAAGAGATTGGCGCAGGCGTTCGCTAGGGGCTGCGTATCTCTCCTTCTTCGTGACTAGCGCTACCGGTTCTGCCGGAAGCATCGCGGGACCGTGATGAGCGCTTCCGCTGCCCGAGCTTGCCTACCTGAGTGCGAAATGGAACGCTGGCTGTGTGTTTTGAAGGAGGGAAGGAGAGAGAGAGAGAGAGAGAGAGAGAGAGAGAGAGAGAGAGAGAGAGAGAGAGAGAGAGAGAGAGAGAGAGAGAGAGAGAGAGAGAGAGAGAGAACGTGCATGCGTACTATATACATGTATAGTTACACCAAAATACACTCGTAGTTATTCACAGACACATCACGAAACTCGCCTCTGCAGATGGATCATTAGGCCTACGCATATCTAGCAATCATTACCAAGGCATTCCTCGCCCCCTACGTCTCACCCCCCCCTCCGTCCCCGACAGGAGCGGCGGCGTCACACGTCATCGCCACGTCCCTCGTTGCGCAAACTTTTCCGGGGAACTTCCCGCACCTCCCCAAGCCTTTCCCAGTGCGCGGCGCCCTCCCCAGCTTCCCTGCGGCGCCCTCCCCAGCTCCCCGCAGCGCCCTCCCCAGCTTCCCTGCGGCGCCCTCCCCAGCTTCCCTGCGCGCGCCCTCCCCAGCTTCCCTGCGGCGCCCTCCCCAGCTTCCTGCGGCGCCCTCCCCAGCTTCCTCTCCCAGCTTCCTGCGGCGCCCTCCCCAGCTTCCCTGCGGCGCCCTCCCCAACTTCCCTGCGGCGCCCTCCCCAGCTTCCCTGCGGCGCCCTCCCAGCTTCCCTGCGCGCGCCTCCCCAGCTTCCCTGCGGCGCCCTCCCCAGCTTCCCTGCGGCGCCCTCCCCAGCTTCCCTGCGGCGCCCTCCCACTTCCCTCGGCGCCCTTCCCTGCGGCGCCCTCCCCCCTGCGGCGCCCTCCCCAGCTTCCCTGCGGCCGCCCCAGACGTCAAGCGGGCGCGTCAGGGTTAA